AGTGCTCATTCGTTCCTGCTTAATATACCATGGTTGACCTGCGCGATAAACCAATGTATTATCATCACTTACCCCTTGTTATCTACTTTAATGTAGAGTACAAAATGCCCATTCGTCCTGCCGGACATAGCATGAATGACCTATGCGATCGACACCGAATAGGCATAACTATTGACAAACCAAGATATTATCCTCGATTGCCTACGGCAATCTACTTTATGGAAAATGCACAAAGCTCAGTTGTCCTGCTGAAAATACTATGGTAGACCTACGCGAGCGATACTTGACAAACATAACTTTCTTCAAACCATAGTAATATCACCTGTATTAGACCCTTGCAACCTATTTTCTAAATAGAAGGAAAAATCGACAAAATTACAATGTGACGCACAAGAGTTCTATTTATTTTGTTCGTTTTGTATAGAGTATATTAGTTTGTTTTGTATAGTATATTCGTTATTGAAATATTTGAAGAGGAATAATATCATTCTCCTCCTTATATTTAAAACTGAGATTGGAGGGTGTCAATCCTGCATAGTTTGATCTTCGTCCCGATGCGTATGCTGTGTAAGTGCTAGTATCGCCACGTTTCATTGGTGTCACCGGCATCTGTTGTGCAGAACTTTCATCAGTGATAGAATCCAGCCTTTGTGTGGTACGATACGTGCTATCCTTTGATGAGTCGAGCACATTGGCCGGAAATGAATACCTTTGTACTTGAGCAGGTGTAAACATGGGTGTAGGTGCCATGGAATTAATGGGGGGTGTCGTCTGTGGAGTAGACGTGGAGTCGGTTCCCTGAAAATGGTATGGTGGTGATTTAGGCTGCCGACTTAGACTCGAGGGAGATTTGGACCTGTATCGAGATCGCTGACTAGGGTCCCCGGCAGAATTCGGAGTGGAGCTCGATCTGTGCAATCGGATGTTTCGGTCATTATAGTTCATAATACCATTGATTGCGGACGCAGATCGGCGAGCATACTGATTTTGCTGCTGCAGGTTCAAATGCGGCCTTGAAGCAGGACTTGAATTTGACGAACCAAGTTCGAGCTGTGAACCTGACCCAATCAATTGTTGCGCCCGCTGCTGTTGCAACTTTTGGTTTTTCCGTAGATTACGCTGAGATTTTGCCATAGGGTTGGTCTCTATCTTCAGCGCAGCCATGCGTGGGTTGTGGTATGCTGATGAGCTGATAAATTCAGCCATTTCTATCCGGAAAAAGTTGACGTCACCATCCATTCGCATTTCGCCACTTCCTCCACCAACTAAAAAGGGGATATAGGTGTATAAAATTAGTATCGTTTGCAAATAAATTAAGCATGCTCAAATCCGACATACTATGTGTGACAAGTCAAAAATCTTAGGAGCAATCATCTGTGATCAAACAACATACCAGCAACTGGTGCCACATAGACTGTAGGGATGTACTTCCGAAACGGAACTAGAAGCACATGCGTTTTGTTTTTAGGATCGTTGGTCAATCTCAACTTGTCGAAACTGATTGGATCCTCCATCAGCTTTTTACCGGAAGCTGTAATCCAGGGGTGATTATATACTTCGACGTTTGCCCCAGACAAGGGAGGTACGGTCATTTGTTTCGCTGCAAAGGAAACGGTAAAGAACACTTAATTTTGATTTGCAGCTGCTAAAAAACAAACAACATG